AGACTTTAAAATAGTACACTTAGGACCCTCAATGAGACAGATGAAGCAAACTTCCATTTAAAAAAATCAAGAAATTATGAAACAAAAATAGGTAGAAATTTTTAAAAGGGCAGGTAGATAAGAAGAACCAATTAGAAATCTTAGGAATTCAAAATGTAGAGATTTAAATTTAAAATCTCAATAGATCAAATAAAGTCCACACTGGACACAGTTGAATAAAATATTAATACATTAGAAGATTATACTTAGGAATTCATCCAGAACATAGCATAGAGAGGTTAAAGGAAAGGGAAATTAGGAGGTGTGGAAGCCAAACTGAGAAGCTCCAACATGTACCTAGTAAGAGTTTTGTCAGAGAGTGGTGAAGACACCAGACAAGCACAATTTGAAGAGTTAATAGCTGAGAGTTTTGCAGAATTAAAGATAATTATGAAGCTTTAGATCAGTGCATTCAAATATCAAGCAGGACAAAGATAAATTCCTACCTAGACAAACAGGAGTCAAGCTGCAGAGAGCATCAAGGATGAAGAGAAACCCTTAAAAGCTACTGGAGAAAAAAGAGTGGTTACCTACAAAGGAATGATCACAGCAGTTCTTCATCAGCAACAAACAATTAGGGAAAGATAAAGAGTAAATATTGTCAAAATGCCAAGGGAAAATAAACAGTCAACCTAAAATTTTTCCCAGCTAAATTATTGTCCAAGGAAGAAAATAAAAAATAAGCTTATATACATAAGAATTTCCCCCACACACCCCTCACTGAAAGAAATGTTAAAAGATATATGGCAGCAAGAAGAAAAGAATACCAGAGAGCAGCTGTGGGAACCCAGGAACAATGGTGAACATCAAAATTGATGACATGTGTCCCTAAATTTACTATTTTTAAAACCAGCATTTTTGTTGTTTGTTTAAAAGTAAGTTAAAACTAAAACTCTTGGGGGGAAGGGGGACAAGGGCAACAAATGTAACCTAACCATCTGTACCCCCATAATATGCTGAAAAAAAAAAAACCCAAAACTCAACATAACATATACAAGGCGGACGAGGGTAAGAAAAAGTGTTAAGTGAGCACCTAAGGCTTGCCACACTATGTTTGGAAGGAAAGTAGAAATACTAGATACATTTAGACTTTGTTGGGAACTTTGTTGCTAGTAATTTTTTTAAACTTAAGAGTAACAACTGAAATAGTAGAAATATAATCTACCACTGCCAAATCATAGGAGAGAAAAAAAGAAGAAATGTAAAAGCAATCAGTCCAGCAAGAGGCAAAAGGACAAAAATGAAGCAAAGAAAGCACAAAACAAGGTGGTAGAAATAAATTCAAATGTATCTGTCACTAATTGTTACAAATGAAAACAGAGTAAACTCACCTATTTTTAAAAAAAAAAGATTATCAAATTGTCTTTTAAAAAATCCAGCTATATGCTGCTTCCTAGAGCTGCACCTAAAATAAAACTTTTCAGAAAGTTTGAAAATAAAAGAATGGAAAAGTTAGGTATACCAGACAAATTTTAACAAAAAGAAAACTCATTTATGATTAAATGGGAGAAAAAAAGCTTAGAAATAGAAGGAAATTTCCTTGACTTGATAAGGACTGTCACACACTTTCCAGAAACATCATTCTTTTTTTTTTTATTTATTTCAGCATATTCTGGGGGTACAGACAGAAACATCATTCTTAGTGGCATAACATTAAAATAGTTCCAATAAAGTCAAAATAAGAAAAGGATGCCCTCTATTATCACTTCCGTTTAGTATTATGCTAGCAGGCATCATCAATGCAATGATCTGAAAAAAAATATATGAGTTATATGAATTGGAAAAGCAAATAAAAAAGGGTCCTTTAGTTTTTTGTTTTTGGGTTTTAAGATTATATGATTTTCTACATAGAAAAATCTAAGAAAATCTACAGATAAACTTTTATAACCCATGAGAGACTTTAGCATGGTTTTAGATCAATATCCAAAAATAGATAGCATTGCAATACTCTAGTAATAATGAATTATGAAAGAAAAAAATCTATTCACAATAGCAACAGCAACTATAAGATACCTGGTGCTATGGTCTGTATGTTTGTTTCCCCCCAAAATTCATATGTTGAACTCTAACCCCCGCAGTGATGTTATTGGGAGATGGGGCCTTTGGGAGGTGAGTAGCCCGTGAAGACAAAGCCCTCATGATGGGATTGGTCTTCTTATAAAAGAGACCCAGGAGAGCTTTCTAGTCCTTTCCACCATTATAGACACAGTGAGAAGATGGCCATTTATGAACCAGGAAGCGGGCCCTCACCAGACGCCAAATCTGCCATGATCCTGGACTTCCCAGCCTCCATAACTGTTAGAAATAAATTTCTGTTGTTTATAAGCCACCCAGTCTATGGTTCTGTTACAGCAGCCCAAATACACCAAGACAGCTAGGGGAAAAAAATCTAACCAAAATGTACGAGCTCACTATGGAGAAATTTGTAAAATTTGTTGAAGGACATAAAATTAAACCTGAATAAATTAGAGACATACCATGTTCATAGTTTGGAACAGATTTCAATTCTCCTCAAAATAAAGATAGATAAAGCTATTTTAAAATTAAAAACTTCTGTTCGATAAGACACCATAAATAAATCACATAATAAAACTATGGCTTGGAAAAGATATTTGCAGTGCATATAATTAACAAAATTAATATTAGAATTCACAAATGAATAAAAGAACAGAACAACCCAATAGAAAAATGGACAAAGGATAAGCACAGGTAATTCATAGAAGAGGAAACCCAAATGGGTACACAGGAAAAGAATCTCAACCTCAAAGAAATGAGACACCATCTCACCTCCATCATGTAGGCAGAAGTTAAAATACCTGAAAATCCTAAATGATGATAAACAACAGAAACTCTCCTGTGCTGCTAGTGGAAGTGTCAATTGGTAAAGGGCTTTGGAGAACATTTTGGCCATATCTTAAAAAGTTAATATTTTTACTTTGCTGTAATACTAGCCAGCAATTCTATTTTTCTGTTATACCTGGTGTAGCTCTGCTGTAGGTGCACACGGAGTCGTGCGCAAGGATCTTCATTGCCACATTGCAACAGTGAAAAAGTGCAAACGACCTGCCATCAGCAGGAGAGTAGACAAAAAGTGTGGTGTAGTCATATAATGGAATGCACTTCCCTAGTTACAGTGAATAAACAGAACTTCATGAATAAATGCCAAAATCATAGTGTTGAGCAAAAATAGCAAGTTTCAGAACAATATTATTTAAAACAAACAATACAACATTATATATTTTATGAGTACATACAAATGAGGTGATACCATTAGAATTCACGGGAATGATAGCAAATATGGGGTAGGTCACCCCTAGAGAGAGAGGAAGGGGAAATCTTGGGAAAGAGTGAACAGGGAGCTTCAACTCTTCTGTGATGCTTTATATCTTTAAAAATATTACAGTGATATGGCCAAAGCAAAAGCTTTAATAACACTTGATGGTGGATAAAGGAATCTTTATATTATTATTTTTTGTATTTTTCTTTTTATTTGAAATATTTCACAGATTTTTTTAAAAGGTAATGAATGTTAAGGCCAAGTAAAAATGCTTCGGTCATAGTTTTAACAGCTACATTTGAGCAATACCATATCCCTAGAATTGCTACTGTAAAAGGGGTTATTTCACTTTGTTCCGACAAATATTTGTTGAGCGTTTAGTCTGTGCAGGACTGTGGGATACACTGGAGACCCAAGTGGACTCGGACTCTGCCTTCATAGCAAGTAGAGTCTCCAGGGAAGACAGGTGCTGGGCAGCTAGGGAGGCCCGTCGTGATGGGAGAAGTCCACGACAGTTGGGTCGGCGTAGGTACCACCCCAGAAGGCAGATCCCCGCTGGCCTGGCAGCTCTGCACAAACTAGATTACAGTCGCATTCTCCCAGGAATTGCACTGGGCAATGGGAGGGGATGGGCCGTTGGCAGGGAGGCCAGCACCCCAAAAGGATAAGAGGTAGGGCCAGCTCTGAGGCAGGAGGGCCATGATGGGCCACGGTGGGCGTGAAGGCTCAGGAGTTATGGGGGAGATGCACTGCACGGAGACGAGGATGGAGGCACCAGCTGGTGGCCAGACAAGAAAGGAGGTGCAAAGAAAGGCAGGGAGTGGCTGGGTCACTTGAAAGGAGCTCAAATTCCTGCTGCTGAGTAGAATGCTGAGTGACCCTGGAGGGCTCTGCTTCCCCAGCGTCACTCACACTGCAGACTCAGGCTGTCCTGAAAGTAGGAGGGAACATTATGGGAAGCCTAGGGCTCTCGGAGACACGCCACCTCTGCCACAGCTCCTGTGGTGCTGTAAGTGACAGCCTCAAGCTTGCTTAGAAGTCTGCCTTGTCTCAGGGTGACGGAGCATTTCTGAATACCTAGACCCCCTCCAGGTTCTCTAATAGCTGCTGGACTTCTGACCAAACAGAGTCTCTAGCCTGTTCCAGCCAAACACAGCCCAAATGTGGCTTCTTCCGTGCTGCTGGGTCCAGGCTCTGTGAGGGCCAGGGGTCGCCCAGGCTTTCTATAAGGCCTGTCTGTTCGGCGTTTCCTTGGTTGTCTGAGCCCTCATTGTGGGGTAGAGATTGCCCTTCCCCTGTGACTCTGCGTCTCTGGAGCATAAACCTAACAGTGCTTGGGAGAGCAGGACAGTGGTGGTGGGTGTGTAAACACCAAGCACAGTCTACTGCCTTGAATCCCAATTCTGCCACTAACCAGCCACGTCACCCTGTGCAGAACATTTCCCCTCACTTGTGCCTTGGTTTCCTCTTCTGTAAGTGGAGATAATCATAGCATCACCTCCTAGAATTAAAATAGTTAATACGTGGCAATGCATAGAACAGCTCCTGGCACACAGGAAGCACTAACTCAGTGCTGTCGTTGTTGTTGTTTATTATTATATATAACTTGAGTCTCTATTCCTTGCAACCAAAAGAGCTAGTTGTAAAGAAAAATAAGATTTTAATTTTTTTGTTTGTTTTGCAGCAAAAGTTATGTCATTCCTTTGCAGTGTAGCTGCCCTGTGGATTTCGAGTTCCATGTCACTTTGCTTCAGTCTCATCAGGCCTTTGCTATTGAGCCAACGTCAGGTAAGGAGAGTCACGATTTCAAGTTTCCAATTTCCTCGATGTTCTCAGATCAGAGAGAGAATTTGGAAAGTAGATGTCAGGTTCTAAAAACTAGAATAAATCACGTTTGAATGTATTATTATGTTTTCAAATGTGTAACAGTAACTAATTTTCACACATCTGACGTAATGTAAGTTGAAATCGGGCACTTGGGAATAAGGACATTTTTGGATAATTTGTATCATGAGGATAATTTATAATGTTTGAGTAAGTTCCTTCCAAAGTCAAAACTTGAAATCAGAAATTGATCCATTCTAATTCTAATTCTGGCTCTTGGCACGTCCTCTGCTTTGTATTCACCTTTCAATTCAACTTCATATAAAACGGAAATCTTATTTCCTCCAGAGCTGTCAGAATCTTAGTGAAGGGTCTAAGGTGTTCGTCCACTTGTGGTACGGACTGCCTGTCTTTGCATGCCCCGAAGGACATAGACCCCCGTGCTGCTGAGGACATTTGCATGTGAAATCTTACAGCTAAAGTGATTTCTGCTTCCCAGTTTCTGTCTCAGTGTTTAGGTTTGTGATTTAAGTATCTGTCCACAGTGGTCTACTGTGAATGCTAAAACAGTTTCTTTGGTTTTGTTTAAAGTCTGGGTATTCATTTGCTTACAACTCTTTCATCACTGCCAGTGCATATTTTGTCCAACAAATGAGTGTTCAAAGCAGAAACTTTGAATTAATTCTGAATTATGAGAGATATATAGATTATTTTCTAGAGAATAAGGAGCCATTCTGGGATTTTTAAAATATAACTGTATATATTGCAAAAAAAAAAAAAAAAGAAAAGAGGTACTTGATTCTCTTTCCGAAGAGAAGAGGTTTTTTTTTTCAGCTGTTTGGGCCTTAAAAAGAAGGGAAAAGAGATGGTTACCAAAACTATACTACGCAAGATGGTATCTCACATTTTAAGTATAGCCGGTATTCTTATACTAGGCCTTCCCTCGGCCCTGCCCTGGCTGATGGTACATACTCCTATTAAGTTCTGCAGACAGAAGGGAACCGCTGAGATTTCTGAGCAGTCGTGATGGGAGCTGTTTTCAGACAGGTCAGTGTCTGTAGTGGTGCAGGTGTGAGTGAGGCGGGCACAGAGAGGCAGCCAAGAGCTCCTGGTGCTGGAATGAACTAACGTGGGCCTTGAGCACCTGACCTGAGCTGGTGCTGGCAGCCAGGGAGGGGAGAAGGTAGGGCGCTAACGGTCTTGCCAAACTTCTCTCAAAAACTGTGACCTATATAGGTTTTTGTAGTAATCAAAAATGATGTTTTGTATTTCCGTGGCATCTGTTGTGATCTCTCCTTTTTCATTTTTGATTGAGTTTATTAGAGACCTTTCCCTTTGGATTTTAGTCAATCTAGCCAGTGGGGTGTCAATTTTGTTTATCTTTTCAAAAAACCAACATCTCTAATCATTAGAGAAATGCAAATCAAAACCACAATGAGGTATCACCTAACCCCAGTGAGATTGGCCTCTATCAAAAAAACACAAAACAACAAATGTTGGCGAGGATGTGGAGAGACAGGAACACTTCTACACTGCTGGTGGGACTGTAAGTTAGTGCAGCCTCTGTGGAAAAGAATTTGGAGATACCTCAGAGAGCTAAAAATAGAAATACCATTCGATCCAGCAATAGCACTATTAGGCATCTACCCAAAAGAGCACAAAACATTCTACGATAAGGACATCTGCACCCGAATGTTTATGGCAGCACAATTCACTATTGCAAGAATGTGGAAACAACCCAAGTGCCCGTCAATCCATGAGTGGATTATCAAAATTTGGTATATGTTCACAATGGAATATTACTCAATCATAAGAAATGACAGTGATCTAGCACCTCTTACACTTTCCTGGATTAAACTTAAGCCCATTATCCAAAGTGGAGCACCACAAGAGCAGCAGAACGGGACCCATTTGTACTCACCATCAAATTGGTATTAACTAATCAACACATAAATGCACATATCAGAACAACATCTAGTGGATGCTAGGGAAGGGGGAGGGCGGTGGGAGGAGGGGGGAAGAGGGAGGAGGGGACGGGTATTTGTATACACAAGGAGTGCAATGCGCACTACCCGAAGGATGGACGTATTTGAAACACGGACTTGGGGGGGGGAACCAAGGGCAACACACGTAACCTAAACATCTGTACCACGGGAAGGGCGGCGGGAGGAGGGGGGAGGAGGGAGGAGGGGACGGGTATTTGTATACACAAGGAGTGCAATGCGCACTACCCGAAGGATGGACGTATTTGAAACACGGACTTCGGTGCGGGGGGGGACCCGAGGGCAACACACGTAACCTAAACATATGTACACCCATAATTTGCTGAAATAAAAAAAAAAAAAAAAAAAAAAACTGTGACCTAAGACCCAGAATACTAATTTACCAAAGGGGTTTTGCAACACAACCTATTCAAAACCCAGGGACTATGTAGATAAGAAAATACAGCATTGAGCAGAGTTCACTGACAACTATATGTGAAACACTTAAAAAAAATTATGCAGGCCTTTCCCTGAGCACTCAGATTATAAAATGCACGGCCTCATAATCCAGAAAAACGCGTCATGCGTGAGATACTTTGTCTGATCCATGCAATATGCCTTTGTGATTGTTCTGGCACTTTGTTACTTGTATTTTTAATTCCTCCTTTAAGTGAAATTAAATTGAATATACCAGTTTGGAGTCCAGAGAGAAGTGAGAGCCAAAGACAGAAATTTGGGTGTCACCAGGTGTTAACAGAAGTTAGAGCCATGGGACTGGACATGAGGTCACCCAGGGAGTGAGTGTGGATAGGGAAGTGGACCGAGGGCCAAGCTCTAAGCGCCTGGGCACTCATGGGACAGCCAGGGGCTGTGGATCCAGGAACAGAGAACAGGAGGAAAATCAGGATGGCCTGGTGCAAGGGATGGAATGAATCAATGAAGACAGGAAGGCAAGCCAGTGCTCTTCAACGTTTGGGATCCCTGTTTGCGTTTTAAGCGATCTGCCTTGTGTGGATGGTGTTGCTGGCTTTGCAAACTGCTCTCACGGGCTTGACCCTTCAGCCTCCTCAGGAGCTATTATATGAGGCTCAGGGCATCCACTGGTCCCCTGGTCTCTCAGGAATTTTCTTGGTTTGGTTTCCCACTTAGTTGATGTATCGGTGCATCTTTGATTGTTACACTTCCGAGGTGACAGAATTGAGTGATGACCTCTAAAGCCTTGGCCGGCTGCATGTGGAGCGACTGCCACGCAGGCCGCAGGTTACCCAGGCAAGCTCTTGCTCAGTGGCTTTCCTGACCTGCCAGGTATCCGGCATGTCTCAGAGGCTGGACGGCTGGACAATAATGGATCACTTTTTGGCCATAAGGCCTTATTGCCTCCATTTTACAAACTGGGTCCGGAAAGGCTAAGAACCATGGGCTAATTCGACGCGGTTAGCATCTGTATTTGTAGACACTGTTTTTAAACTCGCCTTTGGTAACCAGTTTCTAAAAGACCAGTGAGGACATCCCGAGTCTGTTAGGTTATAAACCACATCTGCTGTAGGAACGAGAAGCATCGTCTGTGCACACCTTCCAGGCATTTTTGTGCTCAGGCTTGCCAAATGAAAGAAGTGTGAAGAAAGCTAATTCCATTTACGAGATATGCCCTCAACTTTAACCCGGCTGGCCGTTTGCCCACTGGGCATCCTGAAGACGCAGGTGTGCACTGTAGCTGTCAGAAACTGGATGTGCTGCTGGTGCCAAGGGTTTCCCGAGACTGGGGAAAATGAGTAAAAGATATTATGACCTTTCTTGTGCTGCTGACAAAAACTCATACACAATTAAAACATCGAGAACACTCTGCTGACAATTTTGGAAGAGCCAGCAATACTCAACTTTGGCCAAGACCCTATTAGTGTTGGAGACCAGCCAGACACCACAAAAAATTGTTGAATTGTCTACTTGTGACTGTTTCGTGATCCTGGAAATTCCCTTGTTGTCACATTCACTAAGGAAGAATGAATCCAGTTGACATAAACGGCAAATGACAGCATACGATGGCTAGCTAAGCAAGGGTTCTTTAGGAGCTATTGTCCAGAATTCCTATATAAACTTTCCATAATTTCATTCTCTTTTTTCAGTTATGAGGAATGTATAAGCCACTTATAAATAATTGTATATTTGACATTTTCTTCTGAGATGCTAATTTCTTAGTTTATATTGATTCAGAGCTTCCGCCCTTGCTTTGGCCTCAAACCACTTGTTGGTTACAGGCATCACCTGAGGGCCATCACCCCAGCAGGCAGCATAGCCCAGCCAAGAGAAAATCCTTCCCCCAGGGTGAGCAACAGGACACCAGGAACACTGCACTCTGCCTGTCGAGGTCCATGACACCTCCATGCACCTAACAGGTGGCAGGTCTGGACTCCTCGTCCAATCACACTGTCTCAGGTGGACTCATTCATACTCCTGGCAATATGTGCCACCACGCTGCCCACACGCCAGCATTTACCCATCTAGGTTTCAAAGGGGTGCAAATGTTAACTCCTTTTTGCCTCTTTTACTCCAAAGATCCTTTGGCTCCTGGTTGAGGTATTTTATCACATAACAAGCCTCGCCTTCAAGATCCAGCAGCCTTTGGGAGTCCCCGTGCAGAGCCGTTCCATCCAGATAAGAATATGAACAGGGAAGGTTGCCCCTGCTTCTCCTCCCCACCTCACCGTACACCAGCAGACTGGTGACACAGAAGACCCCCAAACCCTAGCGCAAACTGTGCAGGGGACAGATCAGGATTGTCCGGGGGATGTTAAGGCCTTTGGATCTCCAGCACCCAAAACAGGCCTCCATAAAATGTTTTTTATTGGTAATTAGGACACTGAGGAACAGTCTCATCCCAAAAAATATACTGGTTATATGACTGTTTAGAAAAATGATGACATACAGATCTTTGGCAAGGTTCACTTCAAACAAATGGTGGACATGAGTGAGGTACACCAGCAA